AAAGCGTAAAAAGAAGTGCAGAAATCATTTGCCCAGTGAAAGTGTGGAATATCTAATTTCTTGACAAGAAGGGTTAATTATTCTATTTTTTGGGTCATGACCTGTTTTCCTTAAGTTATCTCTTCACGTGATGTTGTTTGTCTTTCTACGTGTCAAAACTAAAGCGCTACACATATTTGTTGTTGTATTAAAGAGTGGGTGGTACTATCAACACTTTATTTTTTATTGTTCATATATTTTATGTTAATTTATATTCTTTAACGTTTTTCAATTCATTCGATCTGATAGTCGAAAATTGTGATGATATATGAAATGTAAAAAAAAAAAAAATGTGTATAGCACCGCTTTAAAATAATACCAGTACTAAGATATTTCGTACAAAGTTGTGTGAGATAGCCTTGGCTTGGAAAGTAGAGAAATAATAGAAAATTTACTTTGGAAGTAAAGAAAAAAATATATTAGGAAATGTAGATAGGGGAATAGTAGGAAATTAATTAGTTAATAGTGGTTGGCAAAGAAATATGGGCAATTGACTAAAACGATAAATGATTAAATCTTGATTGCGAAACTGATAAAATATCCCCTTGATCGCAAAACTAAATCTAGAAAAACGATATTGTGAGAATGACCCATGATAGGACATTAGGATGGCGATCTAAAAGAATTGAGGCTGAGTAAAGAAGGTACTACAAAATGTTAGATGAAATGAACCGAACCGAAACGCATTTCAAGAACATCGGAAAAGCATGGGAGATAGATTTGTAAATTACTAACAAATTAAAGGGAATTCTTAACTAATCTGCTTACATGCATTTACAAATTTCTCACTCAAATATGAACCTTAAGTGCATGTACACTAAAGAACATAATATTTTTTGCGTTCTCTGGTGCATTCCACATTTATCTTGTCGGTGCTAAAAATTATCGACTTTCACCCTCGAAGATTGCACCTGCCACGACATTGTATCTTGTCGGTGATGAAAATTTTGAAAAATGATGATTTTCGTACATTTTTTTTTATTATTTGCACATTATTTGATAGTTTTTTTATCTAAGGTATTTTGTAATTTATTCAATTTAACGTCTAAAAATTGAGAAAAATGTGAAGAAGTAAAAATGCTAGCTAGGAATACATTATTTATACTGATATTGATAATTTGTCAACCTGGGATGGGTTAAAGAAATCAAGAATCTTTTGATTATTCCTCGTGTTATTAGGTAAACCTTCAACTCTATTGTGTTTCTTGTCATATTAGCCTACCAAGGCCACACATGGTCTTTTATTGGAGTAGGCTTTGCCTGAGACGTTGTGGGGTTGGACAGTTAGTATGGCAGGAATACGGTACATATGTCTTATGTTATCATATAAGTAGAGGGACATTTGTAAAAAAAAAAAAAGTTTTCTTCGCTTGTATAATAACATATGAGATACCGTCACCTATTTCCGACACATTGAAAAATCTCTCGTGAGTTTGGTATCGTAATTTTTATACTAATACACACATCACAAAACACCCAAACAACAAATGGGAAATGACTTATATTTTTACATGTGGTCAAATATTCTAATGGACATGATGTTGGAGTTCAATCCACGCATTTGAGGTTCAAAAATTCTACTTCTGTAAATTATTGTAATAGCCTTGACCTCCTTCACTTAATAATATAAAAAATGAAGAAATGATATGATTTTCAGACCTTATTTTTCTCTTTTTGCACTATGATGTAAATATTATTTTTTGTAGTTGTCTGTGTCCCATAACATATCTATAAATCAAAAATTTAAATTAAATAATGTGTTACCAATAAAAAATAAACACGATAATCAGCATTGATCTTCCTAGCATTACTTCATTTGGGAAGAGGATCCGAACCAGATCTCTCCCATCAAAGGCCCAATATCAAGTGATTCGGACCGTTGAAATTTGATTCAACGGCGACAAATAAGGACTCTTATAAAATTATAATAATTGTAACCGTTTGATCAAATTTTAACGATTCGGATCACTTGATTATTGATTTTGATGTGATAGATTTGGATCGGATCCTCTTCCCTCCATTCGAGGCAGTAAAAGGGGTGAGGATTCTCTGTGTCGATCCGTATTCAATTCCCATTTTCTCCTTTGCTTATTCTGCCAAGTGGCAAGAAGGTAGTACTGAGACTTCACACCACGTCAGCCGCTGTCGGTGGAGCTTCGTGGGTCAGCCCCCCTCCAACGTTATTCCAGCCTGTTCCTCCCATTAAACCTCGAACACCTTCAAGACCTTAGCTCCCAATCAACTCATCATCCACCGTCCATTTCCCCTCAACTTGCACGCCATTTAACCACCGACACTCGCATCTACCTCCAACGACACCCGTCGAACGCTTACCTCACCAAAAGCTAGCTATTAACTCCCGGTTGCCGAGAGCCGAAGCAAACCCATTTGTTCTTCCGCATCCAACCATGAAGATCTCCGCTTCTGCATTGGTGGCGGTGGTGGCGCTGAGTGTTGTCCTGTGTGCCAGCAGCGACGGCGATTACTCGTCCACCGTCGCGAAAGTGAAGATTGTAAGGGGGAAGAAGCTGTGCGACAAAGGGTGGGAATGTAAAGGGTGGTCAAAGTACTGTTGCAATCTCACCATCTCCGATTACTTCCAGACTTACCAGTTTGAGAATCTGTTCTCCAAGAGAAACACGCCGGTGGCGCATGCCGTTGGGTTTTGGGATTACCAGGCGTTTATCACTGCCGCCGCGCTTTTCGAGCCTCTTGGGTTTGGGACCACCGGTGGGAAGCTTATGCAGATGAAGGAGATCGCCGCCTTTCTTGGACATGTCGGCAGCAAAACCTCTTGTAAGTCACCACTCTTGTTTGTGCATAGAATTGCTATTTTGGGTAGCTCTTGTTTTTATAATTAGTAATGTTTGATTGAGATTTGTTGAGTTTTAGTGAATTGGGTTTATGAACAACCTCGATTTTGAGGGAAAAAACTTGGATTTCATACAATTTTGGTCACTGTGTTTTCGATTTTCCCAATTTGGTCGCTGTGTTTTCGATTTTAGCTAATTTGGTCAAAAAATGAAAAAATTAATAATTTTTTAACATAAAGTTACGAGAAGTGACGAAGATTGCAAATTTTGTAAAACACAGTGACCGAATTGGCTAAATTGAAAACGCAGTGACCATAAATACAGTGACGAAAAGGGTTTTTAACCCTTGATAAAATACAGTAAGCTTTTGCTGTACTTCACATATGTATACCGGTGTTCTTATGGTTGTTGACGGCGATGGGGATGATTGTTCCAGGTGGTTACGGTGTGGCCACCGGAGGACCATTCGCTTGGGGGCTTTGCTACAACAGGGAAATGAGTCCCATGCAGTCATACTGTGATGACTATTACAAGTACACATATCCCTGCAGTCCTGGAGCTGAATACTATGGCCGTGGTGCTTTGCCTATCTACTGGTTTGTATTCCATCTATTTTATCATTGGTTTATGTCGATTTCCTTTCATAATATTCATATTTCTGAGCTTTCGTTTACCAAATAAATTAACCAAAGATGATGTCAGTTGTGTTGTAAAGTAGAGCGAGCTATTGTTAGATTAGATTAATTCGTTGGTCTACTCGTATAATGCCATCTTATCAAGTTCAGAAATTAGATGATACATACTGCAAGCTAGTAATTTACTTGTGGCAGAAACTAGATAGAGTTGTTTTGTCGGTCAGACATATTTGTCTTCATACAGTAGGACGCCACTTAGTGGGATAAGCCTTTGTTGTTGTCTGTCAGTTTGTTCCGTAGTCTAGCTATTGTCACATTTATGTTTTTGCCTCAAATCTAGTGACATCTGACGTTCTAGAAGATATATTAGGATGTAGTTTGAGTTCTTTGAATAGACAATGTTACTAATTTAACATTGGCCGTTCTACCATCTAGGAACTACAATTACGGTGCAGCTGGAGACGCTTTGAAGGTGGATCTGTTGAACCATCCAGAATACATTGAGCAGAATGCTACTCTTGCCTTCCAAGCTGCAGTATGGAGGTGGATGACCCCTATCAAGAAGTCACAACCCTCAGCCCACGAAGCATTTGTCGGAGACTGGAAGCCTACCAAGAACGATACATTGAGTAAGCGGTTTCCTGGATTTGGCACTACAATGAATATTCTTTATGGGGAATCAGTTTGTGGCAAGGGTGACATTGATGCCATGAACAACATCGTCTCACATTACCAGTACTACCTTGACCTTATGGGTGTCGGTCGAGACGAGGCAGGGCCTCATGACGTGTTAACTTGTGCCGAGCAGGTTGCATTTAACCCAATCCAGCCTGCTGTTACTGCATCATCTTGAGATCTATATCGTGTTAGGTTGCCTGCCCTATCAAAGCCATCTTCTTCTCCCATCAGCTTAGAAATTCAAAAGGAAAATTGAAACGCATCTTCTTCTTTACAAGGTGAAGTATTAATAAAAAGGCGTCGAAGCTAGATGTTGATAGATTATTTGGAATTTCGCGCGTGAAGATGCATATCTGTGAGAATGTGTGAACTGTTGATTGATTTGTTGCCATACTTAAGTTATTTTCTCTCTGGGTTTTGAATTCCATTTGTTTCCAATGTCGAAATGCGTCGTCTGTGTAATTTGTTATATGTAATATATGAACCGTTTTGTTCTCGTATATCTGTTATGGACAACTAAATTTGAGTGCAAAGTTTCATCAGTATATGGCAAATTCTTGCTTTATTTTTTATTTCGACAAAGTACGTTATCTTATTCCTGTTAGGCATTTGATTACGGCATACAAGAGGAAATTCACACGTCTAATTCTCTATGGATTGACATTATGAAATCAGCTCACGTACCGGGCAAACAGCCCAACCCTTGGAACATACTATAGCCCCAGGTGGTGAAGAGCTGACATCAAGGTGCCAAATCTTCCTGTTGCTGTGAGCTCTCGGGGTAGATCAGCCCGTTATCCCAAGAAATTTTTATCCGCTGATTACAAAGTGTGTGTGAGTGAAATAATTTTCATACCCATTTATTTTTATCAAGTTACATGCTCTAAGAAACCTTCACTTTAGGGTTTAGGAACTACGTAACTTATTTGTGCTAATTTTTTCTTCTAGTTGCTAAAATGGTGCCAAGAAAATCATCCATTTCCAAAACAAACGATCCCCTGTCTTCTGCCTCATCCCTCACTGCTGCTCTTATCTGCTCCCCAATATCACCAGCTTTTTTCCTCATTTCTCCTCCTTTGCCACTTTTCTCCATTACCAAATCTATCAGTCTCTTCACCTCCTTCCCAACAATAACACTCTGTGATCCCCTTGTAAGTTCGACGCTCACGCCCATCTCCTCCGCCAACATCTTCGAGTTCAATGCCTGCTCGGACGCCAACGGCCACCCTATCATTGGCACCCCCTGGCTTAAGCTCTCCATCACTGAATTCCATCCGCAGTGGCTAACGAACACACCCGTCGACTTGTGTGACAATATCTCCAACTGGGGTGCCCAATTGTGCACCACCAACCCTTGTCTTCCTTTACTCATTCGATCTTCGAACCCCTCGGGCAACCACTCTGCTCGGAACTCACCCTTCATGTCATATCCAATCGGAGGCCTTATTACCCAAATAAAAGGCCTTCCACTTTCTTCCAACCCAAGAGCTAATTCCATCATCTGGTTTGAACTTATACTGTTTTGAGAACCAAATGAGACGTAAACAACCGAATCCGAACCTTGTGAGTCAAGCCATTCGAGGCATGCTTCAGGAGGTATGCCGAACTCTTTTCCGGCGCGTTGCCTTGAAACACTTAAGCGCAACGTAGATGATTTGTTGAGTGCTTCTAAAGGAAGAAGTGGTCCGATGGACCATACAGGACGCCCCAAGTAGTTCCTCAAGATCTTCAATCCAACTGGCTCAATCTCCTCAACAGTACTACACAACCAACCAAAGGATTTCGTTGAAAGCGAAAGCTGAGGTTGAAAAATTCTTGACCCGAAGTCAGTACCATCTGCAGCTCTTAAGTATGGATTCAGCTGAGATATATGGAAGCGGTAACTCTCAGGAAACCCCGGCACCGGGAACTCATCCGAAGCTGTAGAACGGTGTGGGAGGTTAAGCCAAATAGACACCAAAGCTGCAGTGCCATAGGCACCACCTGTGGTGAAAGTCACATGCGCAGTTCCAAAGCTGTTTGCAAGATTAGCAGCCCATCCAAAGTACATGTCAGAGATAATACAAAGCGGCGGGCGGCCTTCCTTTTCGATGATATCCGAGATAAGGCGGCGAGCAGGAGCTTCAAGACTCGTTGATGCAGCAACTAGGTTTCCTATTTTGCTGAGAGGCAAGTTCTCCGTGTTCTCGCCGTTCGGCGGCAAGCCGTGGTCTGTGCCGCAGAATGATAGCTCAGCCAAGCGGATGTTGGAGTCAGATTGGGAGCTTGAGTTGGAGGCGATCGTTGTGCGGAGGTAGTCGATGTTGAGGGCGGTGCTTGCGACGGTGACAGTGATCAAGCTTTTTCTCTGTTGGAGATTTCTTGCAAGTTGCAGGAATGGTATGAGATGGCCCTGAGCCATGAATGGCAGCATCACAATGTGCTCTTGGTCTTGGCCTTCCATCCCTATCTACCTTTCATCCTCTTTTTTGCCTTTTTGTATTTGACAGGAAGTTTTCAGTTTTTTTTTTCTGGTTGATATCAAAACAAAGAATGAATTTTCAAAAAAAAAAAAAAAAAAAACAATGCAAGGTTGGTTAAGGAATTTGGAGAGTTAAAAAGACACGTGTCTCCCTTTTATGGTGCCACGTTCTGATCAATCAGGACTCAAGGCGGAGTCAAATCTTTAAGTTTATATTTTTTATGTGATTTTTTTTTTGTATTAAAAACTAGGTCATCATCAACCATGCAAATTGTTTATTGGATTGTTTGTAGTTGTGTTTGTGGAATTATTGGTCCCTAGTCACCACTAATTTATTTATAAACTCTAGATTAAGATTGACAAATGGTGATTAGTGTGACGATCCGTCTCTAATTTTCTATGTAATTTCTCTCCGAGTATGTAAATTGACATTTATGCCTTTGTTGGCAAATTAACGTGGATGTGATTATGCAGCTTTAAATTATTTGTCTCACTATCATCATTAAACAGTACTGTTTATTTGATTGTTTGTAGTTTTTTTTGGCATTAAAAACTAGGTTAGCGTCAATATATATATTACAAATTGTTCATTTGATTGTTTGTAGTTTTGTTTATGGAATTATTGGTCACTAGTCACCACTAATTTATTTGTAAACTCTAGATTAAGATTGACAAATGGTGATTAGTGGAGGATTCATCAATCACAACACACATATATCTGTACTTACTCGTACCATAAATATAAGACATTTATCTAAAGATTTCACAACATTGAGGAAATTGTCGTTTTGGTTATTGAGAAATTTCTTTGCACCCACAATTTAGACTCCTATTATGTAACAGTTCTAATTGTAAAATTTATACGATGAAGACCGTTGTTATTCGTAGGCGAATTTGCATTCACCAAAAGCAACACAAGTTACATAAGCTTCCAATCTATTCAACTGGATTTTTAAACTTATAGAATAGTAACACAACTATTGCTTGTTTCAAGGGGATCGAAGGCCAAAAACACTATCACACAACATAACTACAATAGGCCTGCGATCACATAAGCTCCTTGGTTTCAGATCACATCAAACCAAACACAAATACAACTTTATACAAATGCACAACGTCTTCAAAAGGTAGTAATTTTGGCACTCTTAGTTTAGCTTCTCGCACTTAAATTGTGTATGTTATGTACTTTGTACGTTCACATCACAACCAAAGTGTCAGAAGTTAAACTGAGAGAGCGAAAACCGCTATTGCGATCATTTAATGAGTCCCGAATCAAAAGAAACCCCAGTGGAAGGCAACCAAAGGTTCCCAGAGATGAAACCACCAACAGTGAAGGCTTGTGCAGCAACCGGTGTAAGTGACGCATGATACCCCGGCCACCGGACCCGACCCAAAGTTGAAGCCCCAGGCCCATAATTTGAATACTCACCATAATACAATGTATTTAGAGCAAACCCACCAGACCAAGGTGACCAACCAGCCCTACTAATTGAGTCATCCAAGTAAGACTGCATGATAACTGTTCTTGAGTGCTGCTTCCATGGCCTTCCAAGATACGTCTCGTACTTGGATTTCACCGGAGCAAGATCCGAAGCAGCCGAAATTTTGCAGTTGTGAATCGAAATTCCAGTGTTCTGATCCGGGCTGGTTCTGCCTTGTGCTGTGACAAAGTTTTTGAGACCGGTCGAAGCTGGTTTTCTTGCGTAAATGTTGCAGTTCTGGAAAACTGCTGCTGAGTTTCCAAATATGAAATCAACTGTTCCGTAGATTTGGGTGTCTCTGTAGAACTGGCGCTTGGAGAGAGTGTAGAGGGTGTCTTGGTAGCCGACGATGGAGCATCGGAAAATCACTGACTTGTCAGCGCCGACTCGGAGGGCAACCGCTTGGTGCTTTGATGGACCGGCATTATTCTCAAACGTTATGTCACGAGCTATAAATCCGTCTCCCATAGCAGCTGAAAACAGGGTTGTTTGCATGTTACTATGTGCCATGAGGACATGCAATTTTTATTAGGTAAGAGAAAAGTTTCCTTCTTAACTCTTTTTGTCAAAAAAAAAAAACCTACGAAATTAAAACCTTGATCATCCTTTATGAGCATCACGTCTAACATTATAATTTAGGGAAATGGATATCGAAGAAAGGTGGTGGACTAAAGCAAGAAAAGAAAGAATTTTAATAGAACCAACTATTCCCTTTATGATTTCATTTCTTTTCTATTTGATGTTGATGTTGATGTTAGTGTATAGAAATGTGAACTGTTTTCATATTTTCTTGTCTTTTTTTTATTTATTTTTTTATGGATAATAATGCTTGTTTTTCCTCCACAGAGAATCTACTCATTCTCCATTTATAATTAATGTATTTTTGATGTACGGACTTCATAATCGAAATTGTTCATATGCATCAAATAAATTGACGGTTCATCACAACGATGTTACTTGTTATCAAAATCGTTGATTAGTTTGACACATATGAATGACTAAATGATATTAGATTGAATAGTTTTTTTACAGATATAATTTTTAAATGATGATAAAGAGAATGATTAGATGTAATATTTAGCTGACTAACTAACGTTAATTGGTCTCCCACTGTAACGCGGGAGCTACGATCGAGACCATTGCTACCATTGCTCCCTCACTGACATTACAAGACAACCCAAAGTTGGCCTCTCAGTGATGGGACACCGGTTAATCTCAATTGTCAAAGTTCTAATAACATGAGTGGTAGCAAACCCTATAATTTTTTCTTTATAATTTTATTTTTAATATTATCTTCAACGAGTATAAAATCATAATAATTTTCTTTTAAAAGTGAGTTTTGTAAATAATTTTGGTGAGTGACAATAGCACCAGTCATTAAATATTAGTTTTTCTCTAACAGTTTTGATTTTTTTTTTTAACAAAAGTTATTATTATTAAGGAGGTTCAAAAAGATTACAATAATTAAAAAAGTGAGAAGTTTTGAACTTGTGCGAGACATTACTTGTTATGATTTTATTTTTTGATATATGACCAAATTGTTTTTTCACCATTCTTTATAACAAAAAAGATTTTGTTAACAGGTAATTTACATATTTTACAATTTGACAAAATAAAAAAGCCATATATTTTAAATGAAGAAAAAGAAGAGGAAATTCTCTTATATTAATTAGAAACAAAAAAACCTAAAAAAGAGGGAAATTTGATATGTTCTTACCAACTGTGGCAGACTGGAAAGTGGTCCAACCATCCTCAGAGTTCCTATCGCCCACAATAATCGTCGCCCCCAAACCATCACCAATTAACATAACGTTTTTCTGCTTCGTTGGTATTTTAATATATTCATGATAAGTCCCAGCTTTTACATGAATTACAGACCTGCCGCCATCTCCACTCTCAGCCAATGAGGCCACCAACCCAAGTGCTTCGCCGATACTCTTGTGCGTACCACTCCCATCCAAAGCCACCACAGCATGTGCTTCTAAGTCACCCACAGAAGCTTCTAGAAGCTTTCTCTCAGCGCCGGACACCCAACTGGGAAAATCATCCGACAACAGCCTCCGGCCACCGACATTGTTACTAGGGTTTTTCTTTTGGGCCTGCTTTGGTGACCTACTAGTGAGCATGAAAAGTGACAAAGAGTTACTTATGAATTGGTTGATATTTTGAGCTGAAGTCTCCATAGAGCCCTTGTCTACCATTGACTTATCACTCGCAAGGCTGTCTAGACAAGTTTCTTGATTGGTTAGAGCAGCACTGAGCCAGCTTTGGATATCGTCGTCAGCATGGCTATAGGCGCTTTTGGTACTGTCGTATTTGAGTATGACATTATCGAGTAAATCGATACTGTCCTCGACCAGCTCGAGGCAGTCGTTGATAACGCCAAGTGAGTGTGTTTGATGAGAGGTTTGACGGTGGGAAATGGTAAGATTATAGGCAAGAGCGCGAACCAAACTAGCCTTGATAATGCTGAAGTCGACTGAGTGGACAAAGAGGCCTTCAAGGGTTTGAGGGGGTGGTTTAGTAATTGTAGTAATATTACTTGTTTTGGAGATGAAAATGGATTCACAAGCTGCTTGGTGAGGGGTATGTTTGCAAAAAGATACAATATTGTTGGCTTCTTTGGATGGTCCTGCTCTGGAGAATTTGGAGAAAAGGGATGGTGAAGAAGCCTGATTAGCTTCTGCTGATAGCAGCAAGATTTGTATGATCAAGAACATGCTTAGAAAGAAAGTGTGTGTTTTGCTTCTGTCTTCTCCAATATTGGAGGAACTCAGTATTGTAAACATGCTTAAATGAGAGAGACGGACACAGATTAGAGAATCTAGAGAGAGTTGTACGTATGTGAGCACTTAGCTTGGTTACTTATATATACACAATAGGGCCTTTAGTTTCATGCCACCTTATGACTTGTTCGGGAATATGTACGGGCTTTCATTTCAGTGTTCAGTTAAAGGTTGACCACTAATTAAATCAATTTTGTTTCAACTTAATTACCTGTGCACCCTAGCACACTACAATACAATCAAATATTGCCCCAACTTAACTAATTGTATAGTTTAATCGATGTTGAGTTTTATCACAAAAATATCTTAATACAATCAACAGTGAAATCATTTATTATCACGTTCTACTAGTTTATTCAAGTTTTTGACTTGAAATTGCATTCTTCAACAAAAATAAAGGTGACTTTGGTAGCTGTATACTCTAAATGTGATTGTTGTCACCATTATTGATCACTAATTCCTAATATATTGCTGAGAAGCAACGCTATCTTGTATTTGGGTCCCTACACATATATGTACATATACCAACTTAATTTATGCATGTAACCAAATGATGGAAAAAAAATTTAGTGAACAATGAAGTTAATTAATATAATTTGCGTATTAATTTATCACTAGTACTTGATCAGTTTGTTACGAACTAAGGAACTAAAACTTGCATGCATTTTTTTTTTTTGTTACAAATATTTATGTAATATTTAGGGTTTTCAGTATTTAATTCTTCCATGCAAGTGGAGTGGAGTAGGTTTTGATTACTGCCTACGTACAAACTTCTCTAATCATTATTATATATAACCATAACCAGATTAAGT